GCCTAATTTCTTCCAGAAAGCAGCCCTAGAGACACCTGTTCTCTCATTACAGCGTCTAGGTTTCATCCCTTAATTTCAGTTTTCCTGGTGCACTAGGAGTATTGACTTTTGAAGTTTATCTCATACCAATCTCATGCCAGAAACCTATAGATAGATAAATAGATAGGTAGATAGATAGAGTGTAATAAATATTAAATAAATATGAACTCTAATTTTTTTGAAATCTTCCTATACTAGACTCTTTTCCTATTCCTGGAAAATGCCCTCCATCCTTGAGTGCCACCAGCACTAAATCCCCGCCCTCCCCATTGACCAACTAATATTCTCATTTTTCTGTGTCCCTGTACTCAGCTCTGCCTCCACCTGGTGTCGGACTGACCAATTCAACAGATATGCTGATGGGCATGGGATGCTAGCATTTCTTAAGCTCATCCTATACCTATGGCTATTTATTTAGAGGAAGCAGAAGTATGGCAAGTATGCCATAGAAAATGCAGTTGGGATTAAGACATCTGCTGTGCCCAGAAAATATATATGAATTTCAACTGGGCTTTTCAATGAGTTAATTCAAAATTTGCTGCTTGATGCAACATTAGGGAAATGATGGCTCAGAGATGGAACTAGACTGTCTGCCCTTGTAGCTATGTCTCCATTCTCCTTTGGTTTATTCTTATATTTGGGATATTATCAGAAAAGAAGTCTCCAAATGGTTGTGAATCCATTATGGGATCTTCATTAGAAAAATCCAGTAAGAATCCCATGTACTGATTTTCTGCTATAACTGCAATTTAAATAAGTAAGAGTTGCAGTTTTTCTGAGTATGTTCAAAGTTCAACATGGTGTGGAGCCATTTGACATGCAAAATCTATTTTCAAAGTGGTAGGAAGTCCTGGAGTGTAGAGAAGCTAAATTATTGACCTAGAGATTTTTTGTGATCACTGTACCATCACAACAGCAGTAACTAAGCAGGTACAGGGGGTGTATTGGGTGCAGCTTGCCCAGCAAGGAAGTATATTTATCACTGACATTGTTTAGCGTATTGATAGGTGGTAGGTAGTGATTTTTTAAAAAAACAAATTTTAGTCAATGTTATTATTGTTTCCAAATTTTCTCCAGACAATTTCATTTCTTGCCTACATTCTTTGCTCCCACCCTTTGGTCCTCTATTGCACAGCCACTCTTGAGTTAATAAAATCATCCCCAAACAGAGAAGGTAAAATCAACGCTCAGAATGTGTAAGCATTTTCAGTCACACATTCAAGATCTTGTGAGTCTTAGGTTGAGAGTCTACCCAGGTCTAACTCCAAAAGCCCTCTTTTCTTCCCAGATATGTGAGTAATAGTAATTTTTAAAAAAATGTAGTCTGCTTAGGTGTTAAATGTGTTATTTTATAGGTGATTTCATTTGATATGCACATCACACCAGTGAGACAGCAGGCAGGTGCCATTACCTATATTCACAAATCAGGAGTCTAAGAGGTAACCATGGTCCTGCTGCCGCAGGCAGAAACCAAGCTCTCACCTTCTGAAGGTTGAAAGTCACCATGCCATGGGACTCTCTGCTGCTGGTGGCACTCTCTGTAAAAGAACACTGTAACATTTACCTTTCAAGCTACTACCATGCTACCCTAATGGTGTTCTTCAATTAGTTCGTTTCTGTCTAAGGAAGCAAAGAGAGGTTAAGACCATGAGCTTTGTCACATAGTTTTAAATTCAGACTCCACCAGAGGCTGGCTATGTAAATTTGGTTGTTAACTCACTATTAATCTGTCTCTTCATTTATAAAATGAGGCTAATAATACTTACTTCTAGGGCTATTATCTGCAAGAAAGGAATCTTTAAAGCCCTACTAGAGTGTTGACACATGGCAAATGCCTATAAATTGAATCCTTTATTCAGAATTTTGGTTTTTGTTCTAGTATACCAAATATTAGGAAGATGAAATGAATGGCATTGTTTGCTAGGACACAGTTGTTGTTTTCTTACTTATTCTAATTAAAAGAGTGTGTCATCGATAATGTCGAAGAAGAAGAAAAGCTTTGTTAAAATTTTCAGAAGCTAGAAGTTTGAGTAACAAAACTGGAAGACTTGATATCTATAAACTATTTCAAAATCATGTAAAAGAATAACAATGAACCTCTATGCTTTACTATCAAGCCATATTTTTATTATAACCATATTTTGAGCAAGCACACCAATTATTTTAAATATACTAAGCATGCTACAGTAGGAGTTTTAAGAATTTTTCATGCCCTACCTATGCAGAATTCATTATAAAAGAATTTTGAAACACTCATTCCAATAAGCCATGAAATAACAAGCACATACTACTGCATCATTTGAGAAATACTAGGAATAACTGGATGTTCATACATTCATTACCTGTGAATTCACCTTAAATGTTCAAGACGAGAGCGAGTGTTTGGCCTCTGTCGTGGACCAGTGTGACCCTGTCCTAAGAGTCAAGCACTAAAAAGTGTCCATGCATAGATCACCATTGCATTTCCCCTTCTCTGAGGAGTGACTTAATAAATACCTTGCTATTTCACTGTTATGCACACTTTCAGACATAAATTGAGGAGACATATGGTAGGACCAGTTGTCTCCATTGTCATAAGCTAAGGTGGTCAGAAGTGGGAGTTTAGTGTGGCTGACTCTTTTCCCCAGTCATGTGAGCACTGAGTTCAGGCATTGCCACTTTAACAAGAGCATGAAGTGAGCCCAGCATGGAAAAACAGAAGAACTTCTGCTCCCAACCACAAACTTGGCTCCAGGAGAAAGAAGGGGTCACAGCTGCTGAACAAACATAATGCTCAATGCTCTTACTATTTGCTATGTGCTTTGGCTATTTTATAGTTGCAATTTGTACTACTTTTTTTTAAGATTTATTTATTCATGCATACAGAACTGGGGTACAGGGATGGTGAGAGGATTCAACAGACACAGAGTAGGGAGAAGAATAGGCCGACTGATGAAGTACACTGCTGAGGGGAGCAGCAGGTGGGTCAGGAGAGGTCTGCTGCTCCATGTAGGTCACCTCTGGGGTAGGGATTGAACTTGTGCTGAAGTGGCTTTAGCTTCTGAGTGCTGTGCTTTACCCTGCTGCACCACCACGAAGGGCCCTATTTGATCTACTTTTTTAACAAGAAAATAATTCCTTCTCCCTGATACCAGGGTACAGCTATATACAAAATAATTCCTGCCATAGAGAAGGAAGCATTCAGGACAAGGAGGAAATTTTCCTGTAAACCACAGGCTGGGACCTGCATTCCTGGTCCAGAGAGGGCAGCAGAGTCATCCACAAAGGCATTGCTGTACTAAGAATCATCATCCTCCACAACATGAGTGGTAGAAAGTGTATGTCTAGCCCAGATGTAGAGCTGGTTTAGCAAAGCAGAGGTCATCAGCTAGACGCTGTCAGTGATAACCACATGGCTTGAGAAACGCACACATGCTGATTAAAATTCATTTACAAACTGAGAAATTGAATGAGCCAATAGAATTGCAAGCAAAATCATTTCTCCAGGCAACATGCTACAGATTGTGGACTTATTAGCAACTTAAAAATCTAACACAGTGAAGAATTAAGGATGGGAAACTATTACTTATTCAGTGTTTTACTGCTTGTAATTATTTTTCTCCTTATGCATCTTATCACAGTGGGAGGCATCGTCCAAATGTTCAAGCCAGAGCTGAGATGTTATCTTTGACCCACCTCCCTCTTTGCTTCACCCTCCATGTCTAATCTTGCCATTTCTGAGGCTTCATACCCATCGATCTCAAATTTGTCTATTCCCATCCAGCTGCTTTATCACAAATCTAGCGCAAGCTACCACAGCATTCCTTCAGCCATCTCCAAATAAACCTCCCTGCCTCTGGTTTCAACATTTTCTAGATGGGGAAACAGAAGCAATATGATTCTGGTGGACACACCAAACCCTGGAGGAAAGATAATGAGGGACAGAGGCAGGATTTGAGTTCAGATCTTTCAAGCTTGACATGCACGCTCTTAACTTCTATTCAATGTCCCTCCCTGCATAAATACCCCTGCAATCCCACTGCCCCCAATCACTGTATTATCCTTTGAACCAGGGATCTATATCACCAATCAGAGGGTAGCAGTTTAAATGGAATCCTGATAAATTATTTAAAGTCAACTCCTTCAATTAAAAAATGAGAAAATAGAGACTCTGGCCAGTGCAGACACTTGCCCAGACCACAGATGTAGTTAAAGAAGAGGCAAAATCAAACCTCAGGCTTCCAACTTCTGATTGCTACCACTGTCTCCTACCCCATGGACTAGATGAATGAATTATCATTTTAAAAGTTTGCAATTTAAGGGTTAAACAAGTTATAGGTATGAAAACACCCTTGGCTTATAGTACTACAATTGCCTGGTGTGAGGAATGGGCAGTTTTAATTAAACTTCTGGAATTTTTTAATAGCTGTAAAAGATAATCTAGATGATTAAAGTATGGTTCCCTCATTTTATAGATAATAACACCAAGACCCAGGGAGATAAAGTGTATGATGGGTGGGCCACACTGACAGACTAAAATTAAATTCGTGGATCCTAGTCTCCAATCCGAGTTCCTTTCCAGTGTGCCTTTGCCTTACTGTACCTATACAAAAATGAGCAGATGTGTCTAGAGCAAAACACCACCACAACAACAACCCACACCAGTACACCTGTTTATACACAAGGAGACAATGTTTATCCAAATGTGTTTAATTACTTTCTGAGAGTGATTTAGAGATGCCCAAATTTATGTAAAACTGAAACAGGGGCACAATTGCAGAACAAGCTGATGCTTTTCTATAGCCTTCTAAACCAAAACCAGATTTTTCTACAGGCAGAAAACTTAGAAAATAGTTTTTGAATCTGAAGAAAAAAAATCAGAGATAAATGAATTGAATAAGGTGCTGATGAGCAGAGATTTAAATGAATGTTGTGTACAGAGTTTACTAATTTCCCTAAAGTTTTTTTTCCCCCTCCACAAAGTCTAAATAGGCTATTTGGGTCTATTTTTTCCCATAGCCTCATAGCCAGGTTGCCACTTTCTGGCAAGTGACTTTGGACAGGAAAATAATTTTCTCCTTGAAGATTCATAACCTGCACAAACATAACACCAACAAGCCAGGAGTTTGCAATCACCATGTTGACTCATGAAACATTTGCTCCATAGGATTGTTTGAAAGAATCTTAACAAATAAGAATGTCAGATACGCCTTGGAGCTCAAATCAAGTCTGCTACAGTTTTGCAGACCTAGTTCTGTGTTGAAAAATATCAAGTGCATAAGTGCCAGACAGAGTAGAAAACTGAGACAGGACAGAGTCAGACTTCACCCTCATACATTAAAGCAGGATCGCCTGGTTCACAGCAATAGGGAAGGTATAGAAGAAGAAAAAGGGTAATCACTTAATACTAGTTTGTCTTTCTGAATTCCTCTAACAATGTCTGGCTAAGCTTTGGTTGGGAGAACTTTTTAGTCTTTTGATGTTTCTTCAGACTTCTTAATGCTATCACAAACCATCATCATGACAATGGATTTCAGAAGGAAAAGTGATGAAATTATACCTTTACAGTCCCAAATCCTATAATATTACCATTTAATTTATGAAAAGAAAGAAGTATGCAGATATCTCAGTTGGTGGTTGTAATAATGGATGATCTATGGAGGGAATAAAAAGAAATCCTGGGTCATGTCTTTCGTGTAAATTATAAATGGTTTGCCTTTCCTGCCTACAGATCCCCCCACTATCACTGAATCCAAGAGCAATGAAGCTACCACAGGGCGACAAGCTTCACTCAAATGCGAGGCCTCAGCAGTGCCTGCCCCTGACTTTGAGTGGTACCGGGATGACACCAGGTAAGTGCCAGTTCCGCCTTTCTCCACTGCCCTGCTAGGTGGTCCTAGGGGCCCCAGAGCCATAAAGAGAAAAACAAATTGGGCTGCCTTGATGGAGTCTCTACTGTCAGACTGTTCCTTTCCCTCACCTCTTGATCCAGTGCTTTAAGCCTGAGATTTCATAAGCTGATGCTCCTATGCACTCAAGTGACATGCAAGGAGGTAGGTGGCTAAATAGGTAGTTTCCACCTGCATGTCTTTCATGCCGCTAGCAAAAACCCAGTCCCAAAGGAACTTATTCATTCCTGAGTCTCCACTGTCAATGAACATTGATTCTGATACTATGGGATTTTGTGATGAAAATGAGGACTTCTGCAAGAAATAATTCTAGCTACGCACTCTCCTTTTCCTCCCATATGATGATGAGAAAGAGCCCACTATCCCAATCTTCATCAGTGTTACTTTTTACTCTTCTGTTTTTGAACTCGTAGGATAAACAGTGCCAATGGCCTTGAGATTAAGAGCACGGAGGGCCAGTCCTCCCTGACGGTGACCAACGTCACTGAGGAGCACTATGGCAACTATACCTGCGTGGCTGCCAACAAGCTGGGAGTCACCAATGCCAGCCTAGTCCTTTTCAGTAAGTATGGCAGAGCAGGGCCTCCCTCGGGAGAGGAGGCAATTGTGTTTCACATGAAAACTTGAAATTATGCATTTCAGGTAAAGTTATACAAAAGTTAGAATAGAGCTAATCCATCAAAAATCTAGGCATCTCAACCCCTGTTGGATACTTAAGGTGAGGTTTTCAAGTGGGTTAGCCCACTCTCTTGGATAATTGCCTTGTGTTTCATTGATTTTGTTGATCTGGTTTGGTCTTTCCTGATGGATAAACTCTGAAAATATTCAGAGAAAGTGCATCTTTTTGATGATGGTCTCTTTAAGGAGCAGAGGCGATGTAAAATGCAAGAAATAGATGTCAGTTAAAAAATGACAATGGTGAGCGTCATTGAAGGAGAAATATTTAGTGAGGATGGATAAGGTGCTGAGGGAAGAGAGAGGCTGGAAAAAGAAAGTGTATTTTTAACAACATAGGAAGAAGGGTGAAATGAATGATTAAAACAAAGTCAAATCTAAGGGAGAAAAATAGTTGCAGAAAGGTTCCATATGACAGCAGGAAACATTACTTTTTCTGATATATTTTTGGACTAGAGATAGAATTGTAGGAGCATTTCTGAAGATCAGAGAAAACCCTAAAAGCAGACAAAGGAGGGCTCAATTTTTTTAAGCTGCTGGTGTTTTCAGGAGAGCCCGACTGTACAGCTTTACCCTTGGTACCGTGTTACATTGGACACTTGATTCCCCATCCTGTGGGCCTTGTGGCTATGCACATAGAAGCAAGTTCTTCCTGAGAAACACAAGTAAAGATAGTGGAATCACGGGTAAATTATAACATAATATTCTTATCCTATTACGTAAACCCAAAAGTGAGCACTTGCTGAAACTACATTTGGACTAAAGGATGAAGTCCAGAAAATTTATTGTTGTGGGAGGTGGAGTGGGGAGACTAACAAGTCATGAGGAAGCTCTTTTTTTCTGCCCCAGCTTAACTGAAAAAAAAATCTAGAAACACTGTGGCCAGGGGAGATGCCTCTCTCTTCCCTTATTCAGTTTAGATGAACCTGCAAGGAAAAAAAAAAACCCATAACTTTAGAAGAAAAATCAATTTAAGTGAGTTCCATTGAAATGTAGTACTAAAATCATTTTAGTACTCAAGATACTTCCACACTTACAAAAGCAACCACAACAAACTCCTAAGTTTAAACTTCAACTTTATATTCATGTTCCCACTGACTTCAGTTGGTCACAGTTCGATGGCACACTTCTACATAAATGCCCCACCAGTATGAAGCTGAATTCCTGTCTTTGTTTACTTATCTCCAAAGACCAAACATCAGTGTTCTTGGTTGCAGCTAGAAACAGCAGTATTTCGAGATACTTGAGAAGGTATTTATTAAGAAATGTAAATTCCTGCTTCATTCCTAGCATTAAGGATTCCATAAATAAGGGGGGAGGAGGCTGGAAACAACCTCAACAATGATCTTGAGGTTTTGACTAGTCTAAGGTACCTTGGTTAAACACAACAACATTCACTTAACTAGAAAGGTATTATAAGGGTTGGAAGAGAGAAAATGGTACAATAGGATTAGTTTGAAAAAATGAACACTAAAAATTGGCATTAAAGTAGATTTTCTTCCTATCCCACCTAATAGTGTACATATATACATAATGATCTATTTCAAATAGCAAATTAAAATGATAGCTATAGTTAGGTAGAGATGGAAGACTGGACTACTTGAAGAGGAGAACTAGAGGCAAGAGCTGGGCACAGATAATGGGGTGCTGCATTGGCTATGCTGTCATCACCCTGTTGACAAAGCCCTTTTACAGGACTACAGGACCCCCCCCCCCAAAAAAAAAATTTAGGAAATGTCAAGAATCTTAACAAAAATTTTGAAACTAGGAAACCTGGGAGTTGGGCCAGTGTATCATGAGCGTATTATCCTTAATGGTTTCACAGCCTTCCCCCTCAGTTATATACTTGACACGCACACAGTGCAGGGATGGCAGGCCCCTTCCTGCAGGTCCAGGCCACCCCTCAGGTCTGCCCTCTGTGCACTCGCTCTCCCTGCACAGCTTGGATGGGGCGATAGCTGGGTCTGGTTTGCAACTGATTTGCCTCCTACCAGGAAAGGTAGGAGGTGCCATACTTGCAAAGAAGAGAATACAAAAGGTCATTTTTTAAGTGAAAAGGAAACTATTAAAATTGCCACTATCGTGAAGCAATCCCTTTATTTTTTATACTCAAGGCCTAAATCTGAATTTTAAGGGGGAGGCTCTGACACTTCTAGCACACTCGGTCCATCACCACCAGTTAGTTTGGGGAGGTACACTGGTACAGCCTTCATATCTGCAGCCTTGACCACCGGTTCTGTGGCAGCTAAGTTCATGTAGGGGCATGTGAGTGTGTGTGTGAATGTGTGTGTGTGTGCAGCTAAGTTCACCTAGGGGCATGTGAGGGGGGGGTGCAGAGTGAATAAGAGAAGGAGAAAAGAAGAAGACTAAGAGGAAGGTAGGCAAAGTAGAAAAAAAGGGATTGAAAGTCAAGGTATTTCATGGGAGGAGGAAGCCACTGCTATGGAAAGACTTTCCCATAGACCAGGATGAGGAGGGAGAGGTGCTAGGGAAGGATCTGTGGCCTGAGCCCTGACTGAGAACACTGTGTGGGCAGCGGGTGCTCTGCTGACCAAGCCAGTTCAGAGCTTGACAAGGCAGCTGGCAAGGCGCTGCCAGCAGCAGCAGGTAGAAAGCCAGAGCCCCTGAAGAGCTCACAATTGGCCATCTTTCTTGGTGTGTCAGCACATTTTCAGCGTCCACCACAGAGATATGTGCTGACTTCTTACATAGTGTCAACTGGAGGTCACTGAGACCCCATGTCCTCCATCACCCATGAACATACACCTCCTGCAAGCACTTCTCCTAAAGGGTCAAGCACTAATCTCCTAAAGGGTCAAATGAGTGTGCAGGACTACATTGCATTTATAGTCATTTTCTTCTTCTGAGCCAGTGGAAGCATCCTTGTTAGGCTTTTATTCTCTTACATTCTCATCTTCTGTTTGTCCAGAAACCATGCAACTTCAGTCCAAATGTCCAAGTAATGCCTCATACTTTTCTTCATCCCAGATAAAACCTCATTTATATAATTTTTCTGGATACATGCATCCAATGTGTATGCCTAAGAATTCAGCTCCTTAGTCTTTGTCAGATGGGGAATATGCCTTGTCCAGATGAAGAATTGTACTTCCATCATCAACAGATGTAATAAACACAGATTCCATATTTCCACAGTGATGACTCAGAGAAATTCAGAATGGAAACCTGTTTTATTTGGGTGCTTTTGTTGAGTTATCTTTAAAGTAATGAACCGGAAATAAAAGTAAATTTCATCACTACTTAAATGTCATCACTACTTATCAGTTGAGTGCCAACAAGGTACTCTGCATATATACCAAACACTCCACATACACAATCTCATTAATCATCAGAACAGCCCTATGAGGTACTCATATTCTCCCTTCTGGAACGAGGTTAAATAACTGGTGCAACTAAGAAGGACTGCAGGAATTTAAACTTGGGTGATCTTAGCCGATAGACCAGTTCTAGAACAACACACTAGCTAGATTTGTATATGTGTGGCAATGGATAGGAGAAACGTCTTTTGCACTTTGGAGGTAAAGAGACATATAACTTTTTCTCCTCTTTTCCCCAAATGAGGCCTTTCCACTGAGCAAATACTGTTAAATTCCTTCCTGTTCAGGATCATGGCTTCTGCTGCTGTCCACTCCCATTTTCACTGGTCCACTAGAGACTTTGGTTCCTCTTTGGCATATGGAGATGCTGAACTAATTTCCCAGCCAAGTGTTTGACACTGGGTCTCAGGGCAGGGTGAGGAGGATGGAGAGGTGTTCTTCATCATGTTAAAGAAAGACTATCGTACTGATCAATTACTTTCTACTTTAGAAAACTATGTAAGTACTTTGAGGTTATTGAGCACAAAACACACAAATACAAAGAAATCTACCACATCGGTGGGCAGGAGAATTTTACATTTTCTTTTTAATTTTAAAAGGTCATTAACTTGCAAATCTGCACTTGATTAAATTTCAAGTACTACCTAAATAACCCAGCTCTGAAGAAAATCCTTAATATGAGGGCCTTTTCCTCTTTATTGGAAACCATTTTAAGTTATTATCTTAGGGAGTCAGTGCTTAAATATATACCACTTGATGATGCTAGTTAAGACTTGGCAAAGCCTCTTAACCAGCTACTTTTGGAAATCAGATAATAAAACAGTTTGAACAGCTATTTGAATACTATCCACATGTAGTTTGGAAAACTGCATACAAGCCCCATAAAAGGGCTCTCTGAGGATACAATAGGAAATCAGTGGGCCCTAGAACTAGTTTTAGTTCAGAGAATAAGCATTAAATATGCTAACTCCCAGGAAGACATATAAACTGGTAAATAAGAGAAAATTCTGTCTTAATTAATAAGTGATCTTCCTATATGCATCAACTCCATCAACTCCAGTCTTTGTCATTTAGGTGGTTTAACTCAGAGAATTTTCTTATGAAGGGCTAATATCTATTTAAATGTTTCTTATGGTATCCCAGCAGACTCAGTCAATAATACTCCCCACGCCATTTAGCAGATAAGAAACCCAACCTCAGAGTTCAAGAATTTACAAATAGCCAAGCCTATAGTTCTGAAGCCAAACTTAGGATTCTGTTCCTAAGGTCTTTCCATTAGTTGCTAGGCTGAGTTGGCCTCCTCAAACATCAGCTATTGAAAAACAAGACACATAGTGCCAGGTTCCTGCTGTCTTTGACATTTGAATATTAAAATGTAGAAAATTTCTTTTTCATATTAAATCACATTGACTTTACACCCTTACAAGAGCCCAAAAACCATGTTGTAGACTATAAAATACAGTAGAAATATGGTGAAAAAATAAAGCTAAATGCTAGTATGCGAAAGCATCTAAGGAATGATAACCAGTAGGCTGGAATTAAGAGAATGAGAATAACTAATGGGGCGTGATAAGGCTAAGATGATGATAACAGGGTGGAGCTAAGACTGTAAAAACAAGCTGGGAAACAGTTGAAAAGGCAATGAAAAGAAGTGGGTGAGATAGTTTAACAATATAAATGGTCTTGAGAAAATGAAGGCACAGTGCATTTACCCAGCTGTGAACAGTGTGTTGAGAAAATATTAAGCTGAGTCATTTAAACAGTCTGAATAATAATAGTAATAATAAAAATAAAATACAGTAGATAGAGCATAGGATGGGACAGTAGTCTCCAACTGCTATACAAATGCTGAAAACAGTTCAGCTATTTATTTGCAAAGCTGGAAACTTAATACCAAATAACCAGTGGAGTTTAAATCATTTTTCTACTTGACAATTTTGTAACTAAGACGCAATTGTTCAAGGGACTGTTATGGACCTGCTCCATTTTAATGTACTTAGGAAACTTGGGCATTTAAACTGTAACTTTCAGCCAAGCTAGGAAAACGCTCACTCTGAAAGGAAAGTGGATTTTCAATAGAATGAATGCCCAAATTCCAAGCAAAATCTATCCTTTCTAAGCTGATGGTATAAGATGGCAAGCTGATCAAGGTTGAATGTGTGTGTGTGTGTGTGTGTGTATTTCTGTTTATGGTTTTGATTTCATTTCTCTTCAGTCTTTAACAAAGTAGTTTCTTAGAGAATGTAAAAAAAGTGTATACTAATTATATTCCACAGTTGGGTTCAGGGGTAGCAAGAAATACTACCTATCCTAAAGGAATTAGATTTGAACCTAGGGTTTTGATGAGATAGAGGGTGTCTTAAAGTTTGACCTCTTTCAGCACATTTAATTTCCAGTCAGCAGCGTGGGGATGATGGGACTCTGAGGGACACATAAGCTAGTATTCAAAAGGAAAGCACTTATTACTCAACAGGTATATCAAGCAAATCTGACTGGTTGATCAAATTTCAGATAATACTGCAATATCAAAAGAGGGTGGAATTAAGGAAGAAACTGAAAATAAAATGTATCATGCAAAGAAACTTACAACTCCTGCACTGATAACAGTAATGTAGAAGTAAAAACCTGAAGGAAAATTTGAATTAGCATTATCCAGAATAAAGTGTTCAGCAGGTGCTTGGCTAAACTGGCATGAGCTGTAGTGCTTCAGGTGCAGAAGGGCACCCTATGCTACCATAGGTCCATAATAAGCTAAAGAGACCAGGCTTAGGACCAAAGTGCCTGACCTGAATTGTGACTACTGATTGAAACACCCTCAGCCCCACTCTCCCCCAAAACATAATCTTGGTGATAGTTTTTTTTTCCTAGGAAGGGTTGGATCTTGTTTGTAGTATACCACAATATGGTTTTGTTCTTTCCTCTAGCTAATTTTTTAAAGACTTTGGATTTTACATGTTAAGAATAGCTCTAATACTTTAGTGTAAGAAGGAGAAACAGACATCCTACGGGAGATATAATCCTATATGCATGAAAAGTTATCTGTTTTATAATTGACTATTAAACATGAATAATATAGATGTATATACATATATATATAAACTCTCCATGATGTATTTTTTCCCCTTTAGAACGTGTCTTACCCACAATCCCCCATCCCATTCAAGGTCAGTATGAATTTTATCACTGTAGCTCTGTTGTTGGGTCATTCTCCATCATCTATAATGTCTAAAACACAAAGGAGGGAAATTCATTAACAAAATTCACATACAATAGAAATTGTTTTCTTAAGCTTTCCAAAGAAAGGCAATCTATTGCCCCTTCATCAGTTGATACCCATGTAACAGGTCTGTCACCCAATGAGACTTCAGGTTGGTCAGGGGAAGAAGATGCTAACCACAAAAGGCAATTTTTTCCCTGCATTCAGTATGTATTATAGACTTTGTAAACTCTAGGAACACAACCAGCTAAATTCTTTAGCTCATAAAAGTACAAGTCCCCTGACCATGCTCACATAAGGAGGTTTATACAATCCAAATCCAAAGTCATTGGTTTTAATTGTAAAATGAATTTATCTATAGTAAATGATTTAGCTCAACTGAGATGATTTATTAAAATCTGGGCCAACTCAGGGCTTTTTATTTTAAGACATAACTATTTTAGAAAACACAAATTTTCAAAAGAGGTAGTTATTTTGTATTCCTCTTCATGAAATTTTATACACACTCAAATTAAATTTGGCCTCCTGCATCACATTAGATGCAAGTTGCTGCTCTAACCTTCTAGCTTACGGCTATTTAAAGGCAAATTGGCAAATAAAATTAAAACAATACAAAAAAAAATCGGAAATGAAACCAACCTACCATTGAAATTAAATTCCAGAAAAGTGATTTGCAAATAACATTCAAGAACTGAGAAAAAATGGAAAGTAGGCCATGCGGGGCCTAGTAAGGAAAAAAAAAATAAATCCAATTAAACATGATTATCAAATACACTATAAAGAAAATGTGCTTAGAATTAAAGGTAGAAACCTGCTCATCTGAAGTTGGGTCACTAAGACTTGTCCAAATTAAAAATTAGGCCAGAATTGGGTGTAGACACTCAGTGTCAATAATGTAATATGTTGCATATGCCTATGCACATATATGCAAACTTATTTTAATTAAATTGGAAACTAGAATTATAAAGTCTCAAGGATCAATGAAACTACTTGATAAAAAAGTAATTCCTACATTTTAAGAAGTGTCCAAGCTATTTTTAAAAGAACTCTGTTGAATAAAAACCTCCCCTAAAACTTCAATGAAATCTGTTTCTTATCTCAGTCACTAAAAATAGGACTGTTAAAATGCGCCTGTTTTTCAGACTTGACATGAAATTCAGTGTTCATGGAAAATATCCCATTTTGAATTCCTGACGTGCCACAAGTATTTTAAGACATTTGTCTTTTTGTGCAGTTGCAGAGATTGACACCATGTTATCATGTTGCCATCGTGTAAATATCTTGATGTGACAAACAAGCACACACACCATCATCCCAATGAATGCATTTAAATCGAGGTCAGGCTCCCTCCAAGATGAGCTTCCTACAGTGTCTGTCACTGTGACTCTAGGTTTCCTTTGTGAGAGCAGTCCTGTAGCCACAAACGCTAATATTTTATCTGATCATGCTTTATGATATGTGGAACAGTGAACAAAATGAAGCCAGTCACTGTTCACAAAGGACAGCTGGTGGATACTAAAAAACAGTCTGGACTAGGGATGGAACATGTGGGATTTTGTTGAACTTGATTTTTTCCCCACAAACTGACTTGTTGATTGGAGAATGACCCTAGTTTGATTTTATATTATAGATAGACTGTAGATAGCTTCCTTAGATCCAATAGTTTTAGAGAATATAGTTTATCTGACTACTAATTCTTTGAGCTTCTGCTGGTAGAAACCGAAAAGCTGTTCATGGAGAATGGGATAGCTGATGTGAGAGATTGGTCTATAAAGAGAAGTGTCCTGTTAAGTTCCTGATTCCTTACAAAGACTTTAACTTTTGAGAGATCAAATCTTTTCTCCCTCTCTTTCCAATCAAGATGGTGACCCATGTGAAATGCAGTGGGAAAAAGTGTTAACCTAGGGTATTCTTGACCCTTTATATAGTGCCACTTATGTGCCCAGGTATATAGGAAAGACTTGCCTGCCTCACTACAGTCCTAAGTCTAGCACAAAACACCTTTAATTAATATTACATGTTGCCATTCTCTTTGTGGAATCCAATATTTCAGCCCTAACCTGATAAGACATCCATAAGCAGTCAGTTGATGTAAACGGTCAGAAGGGTTTTGCATCAATTCATTTTCTTAAGGTATTTTGAAAGCAGGAGAAAGCCCCACAAGTCCTTTCCTGTCTTGGCATCACAAAGAGAACTTTCCCTCCTATTTTCCAATAACAAGAAATACATGTTTCATTTCAACTGCTTCATTATTGCTAATGTCTTTTATTGGAGGGTCTGCCCTCCTAACCCCAGACTGCCCGGGGGGCAAGATAGAGTCACAGCAGAAATGTAGCCCTAAACCCCTCCAAGCTGTGATTAAACAAAAACCAAGCTCAATAAATCAAATGTATTTCCCTTGGGTTTCCTTCATCATATTGCCTGATTTTCTGCAGTGATAATAATAATACTGGAATTACACCAAAGGATAATTTGTATTGTCTGTAGCCAATCAGAAATTTTCAAATGTCCTTTCCTCTCATGCCCAAAACAAAGCAACACACACACACACACACAAAATGTGTACTTCCCTGCTCCTTAATTTAAAAGAGATATATAAATAAATAAAGCAAATAGTGCTCCATTCTTGATCTGTTGCTGATAGGTGTTTTTTCCCATTAATTTTAATTTAGGTTTATTTATTCTGAAATGAGTCCTGAATTGCATATATTTGCATAACTACCCCTGACTCTATCGCTGCAGAAAAGCCACTGAATTGTAAAATGAGGAAAGAGCCAGTTCCAAATGTCTGAGGGAACCTTTTTCACTTTGTTGGATTCAAATCATTTCCTGGGGCCTCTGAATACTAGGAAATAATAACTCCACTCCTCTCTCCTCCCCATCAGCTTACTTGTGCACAGCCCTTCATGATAAAAGTGCTTGGAAAGATGGCCTCACATTTAGGAGAGCTGTAGGTTCCAAATGAGGTGACAAAACTGGCCTCAGGAAGATAATATGATGGGAAAGTGGAAAATGAGAACAGAACTAGGACAAACTACCATTGTTTTGTTTTTATCACCCTCAAGTGAAGAATTCCCTTGAGCTCAGAGAGCTCTGGCTCTCGGGGGTCAATCTAAACAGCTTCTGATCTCTGCCACCTAAAAAAATTAAATAAATAAGAATCCTGGAATGAGTCTCACTTGTTTGCCTCCCATCTGATTATTTATCCCAAGTGAACAGCCTTTCCATTCACTAACCCCATGTGGCGAGTGGGTTTGGGAAATGTTGAGATTATCTTCCAGGCTCAGGCATGGCACCGGGTTTGTTCACAGCTGCTTGCCATTCAGTTCCTGTTTTTCCATTGATAAAACACATTGCACATGGCTGGGTTTGCATGATTAATACAGCTGTCTGAAGTGCTTTCTGAAAACAAAACAAACAGCCCCCTCCCCCCAATTAAAGTTTTTTAAAAAATTAAAATCCAACCCACAAACAAACTAGGCTTGCAGAAATCTGAAGCCTGCCTGGCAAGTTTCCTCCCCAAGGGAGTATAGTGCTGTTAGCGTCAGGCCTGGCATCTGAGCAGCCAGATTTCACCTGCAACAGGATGCTGGGACATACCTGTGCTCACCTGGCACTTCTAGGAAGGGGTTCTTATAATCAGACTTCACTGTAGTGACAAGAAAACTTTGAGGAAAATCTCAAAGTTACCCCATGCTACGAAGATGACCAAGCAATCCCTACCTACATCATCATTTTTCCCCCTGTGGATTATTATACGGAGTATCAATGAGAAAACACCTTCTTTCAACTGCTTATTATAAAAGTTTGAACTTGCCTGAATATAATGGTCAAAGAGTAATAACTGTAGCTAACTTAGGTAGAAGCCCTCTCATGTACCAATAGCGTTCTAAAGATGTCAATACAGTAAATCCCAACCTTAGGAAACTAACAAATACTGACTCCCCTGCTTTTTAACCATCAAAATCTACCCAAATTTTAATCTGCTCCTTCTGCACCCTGGCACCTTATAAATATCCACTATGAATGTATTCAATTTCATTAGATAGTTTCTAACGAGCTTAAACATTGATCTCATTTGTTTTATGTGTAATAATGCTTATAAACCATATTACTGAGTTACCTTAGTTCATGTACTTTTATGAAGGCCATTTCCAAATATACTCAACACACTGAGATGTGTGCTCAATTCACACAGAGATTTATATGAAAGGTTCATCTTTAAAAAAACATGAGCTAAGCTAGCTGGCATCAGCACATCTAATTTCACACACTTATTCAAGCTGATTTACATACACACCTCTATTAATCATGGATAATTACTAGCATTGTTCTCCTTAATTCAGTTTTTCCAACTGTGAAATGGGAAAGAAATTATATTTTTCATGCCTATAAGCCCAAAGTGGTGTTTTAAATACTATATAAATTGAAGCTCCAAGTTCCTAGAAAGAAAGCTGATTGAATTTTAAGTAATTATATTCAGATCCACTTATTACTTACAACTTTAAAAATACTGACATTTAAAGATACATCCCATTGCCTGGATATTTGCTAAAACGAAGTTCGGTGAGGCTTTATTACAGTTTGATGCTACAGCCATAGTGCCAACAGAAGTTTCCCAAGGCAGAATCAAAAAGACCCATCCTTGTCTGCCACCAGTAGAATGAGGTGACACTGAAGGGGGGTTGCAACAGTTTCCTGTTGTGTGGTGGACACCTACACACTCACACGCCCTCGGGAGACATACAACATGCAGTGCCCACACATCACCCTAATCCCAAGTCAGCAACCTGAAGAAGCTGCCTTTTTGTCAGGCCACTGGTATAAAGCATGCTGAAGAAGGGTTTCCGTTTTAAAATAAGTCTCTTCTTTCAACTGACAGATGGGAACAAAAGCTTTGTTTTCACTGATCAAACTTAGGCAGCTGTGTCAACACAAATACACAGC